ATACAGTATATATAGAGGACCCCTCCATTCCCACCTTTTTCCACATCTGTTTATCAGCACTTTCATCAGGGAAGTTCTTAAGTTAAACCCCTCTTCCACCTCCTCCTCTGAAGCATTCCAAGAAGTTAATATTATTCGGAAATGAACCCGGATAATAGTGTTAATAACGCAGGTACGTACGTAGGGTTTTGATTTTATTATAAATTCGTTTGGCTCCCATGTTACGTACGAACACTTTAATTAGTTAGTATTTCAAACTCATGGTATGGATCGATGAGTCTTGGTTTTGGAATATGAATGCACGGCCAAGTATTCTCGGAAGAGGAAGCAGAATAAGACTGTTGTTGTTGCTCTGAAGTCGTCCCGACCACGAACGGCGGTGGGTCCGGTTGTTCAACCTCCGAGGCCGGCTGCGACGGCGACGACGTCGACGACCCAGAGTCTTAAGAGTGACCCGGCCGCGTACTCCATAAAACCCGCATCCTTCAGGGAAATTTTGACTAACGATGATCTTCTGCCTCCTTATGTTAAGTAGCTGAATGCTGATATCCATCAGTTAATCTCCACTCAGGTTAATTTTATTAAGTATTTAAGATTTTGTTTTCTTCCCTTTTTTTAAATCATCATGCATTTTCATTTTTTTTTTTTTTTTTTTTGCTGAATAAATCATGCATTTTCTCATCCCTTTTAATTGAGAAGAATATGCATGCATGGATTTTGGGTGAATGTGAAATGTGACGTCGTTCGGTGGGAGACCAGCTGAGGCGCAACGGAGGCAGTACTGTTTACTGTTGTCCGATGTGGAGGAGCGGGCCGGGCTGAAGCTCAAACAGAAAGACTCGGAGCTGAGCCGGATGGCGGGCCAAGTCAAGGCTCTGGAGCGAGAGAACGAGTTGTTGAGGCTTGATGTTCAAGAGGCTTTGATCATAGCCGGTAAATCCGAATCCAGCGGGTATTATGGCGACGTGGCCCGCCGGGAGGAGGGAGTCGAGCCCGAGCCGGAGAGCCAGCCTCTGTGCTGTTTGTGTGCAAAGTCTGTACCAGACTAAAGTTGCCAATGCGATGGATGGCCTTTGCCGCCACTTTTGCCTCTGGATGTACGTAAGGTTTTGCAAATGATGATGATGTTGTATAATAAAATGTAATCGCTCCACTCATAATTATTGTCCAGTTTGGATTTTTATTTCTAATTCAAATTATATTAAAAATGAAATCTTAAACTGGACAATAATTTTAGGACAGAGAGAATAGTACATATAGCTAAGTCTACGGTAGTACGGAGAATGTTCTGATGTAATTTTTTTTGTGTGTTTTTTTTAATTGATGAATATATATGGGCTTTTTGAAAAATAAATAAATAAACATGAGTGATCATATATGGCTCCGTGCAGAATCTGGAATTTCTCAGTTGCTGGTGGGTGCTACTAAATAATTTAGATTAATGTTTGAGTTTGATCGATCATGACATAAATTGAAGACGGGAACCGTACATTTTTTCTTGTTATTTTGTGTGAATTGAAAATTTTAATTGATATTTTGGTCGGTTTTCTGGGTTTTTTTTAATGGTTTATAAGTTTCTTTCTTATTAGAAGTACGATCGAGTTGCAGTTTATTTAAACACTGGGTGTTTACTGTGTCCTGAAAATCATTGTAGCCATTTGTGTTGAAACTTGACCTACGATTTGTGTCTGCAACAAGTGTATAGTTTGCATTCATTCAAATCCTAAACTTTTGTCACTGTACTAGTCCGTGCAAAGAGAGTGACATATTCTTTCAGAACAGTAGCACTGATTTTTCTTGAGTATTATGTTACATTTTCCTTATCAAATAACTATACGTGCTTATAAATTTTAAAATTTAATGTAAATTATTTTTTTAAAGGGTATATTATGATGTATTTTTTTGATATTTATATACGTAACGGTTCGTCATTTTAATGTATATTAACCATATTCAGACCTCAAGAAACTAAAACCAAAATAAAAGGAAAAAAAATGAAAAATAAAGTAGAAAAAATTGAAGCGGAACCGTAATTTAAATATTTTCCATTATGTTGAAAGAGAAAACAGAAATCCGTAATTCTTTCTTCTTTTTTTTATTTTCCTTTTTCAGAAGGACCACGAACAGCTAAATAAGTTATAAATTATACATACTCTTTAATTATATTCCACAAAAATAATTTATAGTGTAAATTTTAGATTTTTACGAAAAACAATACGATTTATAATTTATAATATGAATTATTTTTTGGAATGAAAGAATTAAGTGTTATATTTTTGACTTTAAACTTTAGCCGATAGAACGTAGACCGTAACTAAAATATAATGTTATAGGAATTACTTACCTTCAAAATATAACGATCTAGTTGACTTTAAACCTTTCTTATTGTACTAAAAAAAATAGATACAATTTCTTAAACAAAGATAATAATGCATCAATCCGAATTATGTAGTCCAAATCTAGGAGGTGCAACCGGAAATGTTCCGGGGAATAATGCGTCAGTATTATTGTTTGTATGTCGGCCATTTTGCAGTGCCAATAATTACACTTTGTATACATACAAGGAATTAAGCTATCCAAATTTCACATAATCATTATGAATAAATAATGCTTCATGATTCAATCTGAACTAGTGCGGAGGATTCTTCAGAATCTAACCGCTTCGAACAATTTTGGGCCACAAAATTATTTTGTTTTTTCCTTAATTTGCTGTTTCACAATTTCTGCCACAGAGTGAAGGATATATTACCATGCATAACTATTTTTCTTCCTTCAAAGCCAAAATAAGATAGGTGACTCATTTTTTCATGCCATTTATCATTATGGATGCTACTTGAGACTTTCTTTTTTTTTTTGAAACGGTCATTTATCATTATGGATGATACTTGAGACTTGAGAAAGACAAAAAACAAGTCAAGAAACTCTCTCGAAACATTTTCTTTCGAAGTAAGAAAAAACAAACCGTTTCCTACCCAAATTTTTTCCCCAAAATTCTAGTTATAACATATTAGTTTACTACTCCTCCGGTCCTTATTAAAATATATTTTAATTTGTCATAAATTTCATTTAGTATATTTTTTTAATTGAAAATAAAATTTTCACTTTCATTGCGTTCTACCAGTTATTGTAAAATATTTTCAAACTTTTATTTTTAATAATAAATACCTTGCCCCCGAAAAGTATCAATCAAACTAAATGGGGATAAGAAGGGTTTTTGTTCGAAATTAAACAATCTGTACGTAAAATGGGGTCGGATAAATATGGCTCCTTAGTCCTTCCTTTGAAACATATCCCCAATTGTATGTGTGTAAAAATGTAATTTTGTGGATTCAAAACCAGATTGGGAGATTGGGTGTTCATAGTAAAGAATATCAGTTAATGGTTTGATCAAATATAGATTTTAATCATTTTTTGGCAGCAATTACGGGATATAACTTGCATCTTTGAAAAAAGAACAAAATTAAAACCACGTACAGTTATCTGTTGACAATTAACATGTTTAATGTATGTATAATTAAAATGGCCCCAATCTATTAAAATGGTTTTTTTTTTTTTTTTTTGAAACGGTATGGGGGAAAAAAATGGTGTTAGATTTATGATTGTTTGTGTTATGCAGGTTTGCGGACGGGTGTTGAGAAAAGTGTACATTAGGTAACTGAAAAACAGCTTTTTGAGTCTTTTAGTCAATTCAGACTTCTAACTTTTTTATTTCTCTGATCATTTATTTGCAAATTACATGTCACCGGACTGGAAACATGAAATCAATTCAAGCTTTCTTTGGACGGGCAAAGAGGTTCCGCTCCATCTGAAATCATATTTGACAAGACCATGTAGGGGAAAAAAAAGGCTCGATTCTATAGTATGATTAGTGCATAGATTGTCTGTAACAGAGCTTCTTTGTAAACATGTACTTCCTCCGGTTCTTAATATAACGCATTTTGATTTATCCTATGTTTAATCTAGTATGCATTTTTAATTGACTAAAAAATTTTAAAAATATTTCATAACAATTAAGAGAATACAACGAATGTAAAAATGTATTTTTAAAGTTTTTTCGTTAATTAAAAATGTGTATTAAGTGAAATTTAAGACAAAATTAAAATACCTTATATTAAGGACCAGAAGGAGTACTAAGTACTAGTTTGGTTTACTACTACTACTACTACTACTACTATATTACAGTCATATCCTGCGTAAGCTCTTTAATCCAAAGCAAGTAAACCTGGGGTTCGGAACATTGGATATCTTCTTGAGACGAGCGCACAGCTAATTTTTGGGTTTGATAATACAGCTGTATCAATGACGCCCCTCACCGAATAGATGTTTCATGATTTCCAATGTTTCTGGATGTGATTCCGAAAAGAGTTTAAAGTAGTAGTACAATTAACGTTTGCATGCCCTTTCATTTTCCCATGAAACAAAATCCACACCTTCCCAGCTTCCCTTTTGTTTAATCTCAATTAGAGTTTGCTTCGTTTCCAGCATATCTTAATAGTAGTCCTTTCGCTTTCCCTCGTTATAATGAATAAATGCGTGGTGTTATCAACATACTATATAATAAACCTAATATAATTCATATCTCCTACTCTGCTGGAAATTTGGTACGAATGTAAAACATTGTTTCTTCGACCGTCGAACTAAAAAGACAAGGCAATAATCAAAATCAATGTTAGGCGACCCCTAAAGTTCTGATTTGTTGTCAGAAGGACTAAATTGTTGAAGCATCTTGCAGGAACTGCCGCTTTATCTTGTTAGAGGAGACATGTTTGGACATTTGCAACTTGATATTGACAAAGTCTCTCCTCCCTCTCTAATTTCTGGAGTTCTAATCCTGACTCGAATAGGGATATATCATTATACCGGTGCTTGAAGAATTTCAGTTGGGCAAAAGCTTATTTCCTGGGAAAGTCGTTAAGAGTGTTAAGATAGATGCTCCCTTGTTTTCCTATTTTTGTTGGTATTTCAATCAGTTTACCTTTAGCCAATACCAATATAGTAACATGAGTGACCGACATTTTGTGGAGATTTCTGGTCGCCAAGTGAGAGGCTTCATGTATAAAAGTGATTTTAAAAGAAAAGGTGGTGCTTGTGAGTCCTTCAACACTATTCGGTGCAAATTAGAGGCTAGGAACTGAAACTAGTCATGGTGATAAATATTCGGGGCAATAATTAGGTTTTCGGGCTCGTTTATTGTTGGAACAGATCTCTGCTTCTCTGAGGATGCTCAAGCTTGAGATGTCAACAGACATTCTTCTGGTAACATTAGAACTGATTTTTTTTTAGTAACTGCAATTTTTGACCCTGTTTTAACTAGTAGTTGGTTCATCAGTTTAGATCTTTAATCTTTATGTCAAGGCTTTGGCACATCAACCAACATATCCTCTTCCGAAGTTTGATAAGCTGAAGATCCTTGATGTTCGCTTGCTGTGTTTCACCACAGATTATGACAGGCGCAATATAATCGTGGAATTACTTATCAATTCCCCATATTTGGAGTCACTAATTGTGTCGCAGGTATAACTAAGTAACAGCTATACTTGGATGTCAAACATGCTCTCATACTATTTCATGTAGCATCCATATTTCAAAGTACAAATATTTTTCAGGTGGAGAGAGGAGTATGCTCTTGTACAGGTAGAGGATCCAAGATTGAAAATCACTTGGAAGATGTTCCGAACTTGGCTGCAGGTAATATTTTAGCTCATCTAAAGACAGTGAGATTCGACAACTTTCATCGTTGGGTGAAGGAGATATACCTTGTCAAGTTTTTGTTGGAGCATGCATCTGTACTGGAAGAGTTCATAATTCATCTCAAGCATCGTGTAGTTAATTGGATGAAGCAAAAAAAGCAATTCTCATCGTTCTTTAAAGCCTCCAGTCACGCATATTCATAATGTTGAGAGTTGTTTGAATTCGCCTTTCTAGTCTATCTGTTTTCATTTGTATGCTTGTTTGCTTGAATTCTGATGATTGCGAATGATGAAATGTAACTAGTCTGTCTATGCTTTTTGTTGCTCTATGGATTTAAGGTTGAAATCAGGTCGGTTGCTGTTGACCGCTTGGGATGATCTTCCCAAGAAAATAATTTCAGAATAGGACATTTGCCAAAATAACATACCACAACAGGTTGGAGCGAATATGCTTGCCGAATAATTACTCGCTCCATAGCAAAATAACTGTAGTGGGCGTTAGCGTGTGTAATATTTTTAATTCAATAATTATGACAAATTATTTTGGGTTCGAGAAAATATGGAAGCAAAAATATTTCTGCCTTGGAGCCTCCTTAGATGAGATCTAAGTTCCTAAGGCAACAACAAACACCTCAGGGAACCATACTAAAACTCCACCACATTCTTTCACTAGTTCAACTTTGGGTGCAGTGACAATTTACCTCAGAAATTGGAACTAAGTTATCCATGCGGTCTTATTCATAAGATATCAATGAAAACTAACTTAAAATCAGGTGGTGATATGATTTGAGCATGAAAGAGAATGGGGTCCAATACTCAGAAATGGTCATTGAGAAGGTTGTTAAAATGATAGCTAGTAAACAGATATAAGTATACAAGAAGCAGAAATAAAATGTAATGGCGAAAAAAAATGATCTAGCGGAGGGACTCCTTTTTGTTGTATTGAAGAGTGATGCACTTACCAGCCTTCACTTCTCTTACTTTGGAGCCAATTATGTGTTTACCCCTAGTTTGTTTAATACCAATTCGTTAACCAAATTGGATTTCCATTGGCTCCTCTGTTGAAGTTAGTACCACTGTAATAGCATTTGTTTCATCATCTTAGAGACTTAGACATCTTAAGCTTTGTTCAATTAGCTTTCACGTAAACTAGATGCTTGACCGGGCAGATGTCTGGGCGCCCTCCTCTACTTTAATTTTGTGTTAATAGATAAATGAATTCTTAATTTGGAAAAAATAAAATAGCTACACATTTGTTTTTTTTCCCTTTTTTAGCCAAAAATAAAAATAAAAAAATCATCTATACAATGAGAAAAAATATTGAAAAGTACAACAATGCAAAAATTATACAAAAGAATTTCTCGATTTCTGTCTCTTTCTCCCTTTGTTTTGTCTTTTCTTTGAGAAATTTTCTTCTAGCATTTTGACTCTATACAGACACGAACTTACAGAAATTTTTTAAAAATGAAAAGAGATCCAGTGATGATGACGATAATGATGATCAGAGATGGGAACCGCAATAGAGATAGAAGAAACAGAAGGTAAAAACCAAAAATATAGCTTTCAAAACATAAACAATTTTGAAGAGGAAACCATCGGTAAACCAAGTATAAACGATGAGTTTTTTCTAGTTACGTAGCCAGTTGTAGACGAGAAACTCTTGGAATTGAAACTCCACTCCTCTAAACCAATAGGTCCGTCACCGTCATTTACCTCGTCGCGGTCGGCAATATCAACCGAGCTTCCGACGCCACCGCTCTTCTTATTCAATTTCATGAGGAAGCGAGGGAAAGCAAGTTTTTTAAATTTCATCCCAAAACTAAAAAACCAAAAAATTTATACACGTGAAGATTTACTGAAAGAAAAATCCTGGCGGTAGTTTTTCTCGCATCCACTGAAAGCCGGTCGTAAACTGTTGGAAGAAGCATTCATCCCACATGGCTGTTCGGATGAGATCTTTTTGAGTTTTGAATTATATCATTTGAAATAAGGAAGAGGATTTTTCGCGATGCAGTAATCAATAGAGTAATAAATGAGATTAGTTTATGGGCAAATTTAAATGGTGATCTTAATTTGATTGATAAATGATAAACGTTAGGAGCTAAAATTGTGTAGCTATTTTTGGAAGTAGCTTTTGTTTCTCTGGATAAGAAGTTTTTTTTTTTCCTTTTAAAAAAGGATTACATGTGGCAGAATGGTTTATGCAATATGTTTTATTTCTACCCAATAAGCCTTAGTCTAATGGATTTATCTTCCTTCTACCATATTGTCTTTCACTTCATTTTGGTTGTTTGTGAAAAAGAAAAAAAAAGAGTTGCTAATGTCTTCTCAAGTTTCTGGTTGTGAATGAAGATTAACTTGTCAAGCGAAGTATGAGTTTATACAACTTAATTGCCTTACTTGCCTTGTGTCAAGCCTTTTATTTTTTGGAGTGCTGTGACATTTAAGTTCATTGAGAAGACATAGTTCCCTCATACTTAACTTGTTGGAGTTATCAAAACGGTTTTCTGTACTACTTTTTGTGGGATGGTAGCATTGGGGTTAAGTTCCACATAACTGAATCTGTATGGTCTAGCATCCATCCCCAAGATTTCTGAAATTTTGAAGAAAACAAAACAAACTGAAAAGTTCTTACTCTGCAATATTTCTGGTTGTCTATAGTGTGGCTTGCATGTTTTATTTGTTGCCAAGTGTACAGGAAAAAACGGTTTTACTTGGAGCTTTCACTTGTAGGTTCTCGCCTAGCAAACTCTTTCACCGTTTATGTTGTGAATGACACCTCAAGGTAGAAAGTAAAGCTAGAGGGATTACAGGTTGGATAAAATTTTTGACCTGCATATGCTTTAAATATAGCGGCCAGTTCTAGTTCTTACCATCGTAAATGCTTATTTTCTGTGTTCTTCCAAAATGAACGAATCTTGTCATCTTGGGAAGCTCATTCTCTGTCCACAATGCCACCTTTTAATTTATTTTTGTTGTAGAATGAGCTTTTAGAAAGGAACACCCATTATGTTTTATTGATGGCATTGTTTTGCCGAACTAGTTTTTTGGTAAATTCAGTTGCAACTGAGTATATTATACAATTTCATCCAGCTGCAACTTAGTATATTAAAAATATCAACTGCTATTGAAACATTGTTTCTTTGTTTTGAGCAACTGGCACATATTCAAACTCGGTTGTGATTTTAGTCTTTGTAAATGATGGAAGAGTGTGGTTTGGTGTATTTCTGCATTTCTTCGTATTAAGTTCTTTATTGTAACTCCAAAATAATCTGCAAAATTCCTCTTTTGAGAATATGCACTTCTTGTCCTGCATTTTATCAGCAGCCTGTAAAATTCAAATTTAGTGAAGGCTAGTTATTATATTCTCTGTCCTCCCCTCTCATGGAAGCGTAGGCTCGATATATGCATTGCTGTTGCTGAAGGACTTGCTTACCTTCAAGAATGCAGTGGGCAAGCAGTAAACCATTGTCACCTGGAGCTTGCAAATATTCTGTTGGATAAGAATTGGATTCCAAAGATTTCTCAATTTTTCTGAGTTTCTGTTGAAGTATACAATAACTCAGAATTTTCAGTAATCGCCAGCATCGGGGATATCAGTTACTAAAGAGTTTCAATCCTGTTTTGAGGTAAGGGAACATTCTGATTTGAGCTCACATGGTTTGTTGTTGCTAGAAGTTCTATTTGCCAGACGGGTAAACCTTGAAGACCGTGGAAGGTATTTTACTTCATTGCGGAAAAGCATCAATAGCAGAACACTCCATTTGACCATTGACTCCAGTTTGAGATGGAAAATTGCAGCAAAAAGTTTAGCTGAGTATCTGAAGACCATATTTTACTGCTTGCTTGCTAGCAAAGAATTGCCAACATCAGTTGTTGCTGCTGCATTTAAACTCAAGTCTGCACTGGAGTTACAGGAGAAAGCAGAATCAACCGTGCTACAAATGTTGAATAACCGGCGAATCACCATAGCAATACAAATGTGGAATGCGTGTTAGAGTTTTAAATTTTGTGGAATTCATATGTGTTGAATGTATGGAATTTAAAATGTTGTGTATTTGTTACAAGTTTTATGAACTATTTGTTATTTTTTTGAGAGTTGGACATTTAAAAATCTCTCGATAACAATATTCCAAACTTGTCATGCGTTTGATAAGTTAGAATGGTTTTAATATTATGCTTTAATTTAGTCAGAATGGTTTTAAAATTAGACTCTAATTTTGATTTATGTTGGGAGATAAAGTGTGGAAAAGAAAATTTTGAAACAAAAACAATTGCAAATAAGAAAACAAAAATTTAGGAAAAGAAAGTGAAAGAAAATGAAAATGACAATTTGTGTAAAAATATTTTTTTTAAAAAAAAAAAGTTCACAAATTATTTTGAAGAAAAAGTAATTTTGAAAAAGATCTAGTCCAAATAATTTTTTAATATTTTTAATTACTAAAAAGATTTTGAAAAATTCTTGTCCAAATGTATTATTTTCCAAAAAGTATTTTTCTATGTTTTCGTTCAAACAAACTTTTTAAAACAAGTTTTCAAAATACTTGTCTAAATGGAGCCTTATTTTTTAGTTCAAAATAATTTTAGGACAGACGGATTATCTTTTAATTACTGCTTGTTGGTTTCTATTTACACTTTTATTGTTAGATCTTTTTCGTTTAGGCCTTGACATATAAGATGATCATTACACTTCGTCTTCCAACATTTGATAAGCTTAAGAATGTCAATGTTATCTTGCCGTGCTTGGCCGATGATAAGAGTGTAGGCTTGTTTCAGAATTACTCAATAATGCCCCAACTCTGGAGGCACTAATTGTTTCGCAGGTACTTCATCGTCGACAACAATTCATTTAGTTATACTATTTCTGTTCTAGGTACGGTGGAACCAAATTTCAAAAGTTTTGTAATTTTCTTGCAGGTGGGAAAACGGAGTTCATATAGCTCTTGTAAAGGAAAAGTACCCTATATTGAGAATTACATGGGAAACAATCCGAGATTAGCTGCAGGTAATCGTTTAGCTCATCTGAAGACGGTGAGATTCGAAAACTTTCATCGTTGGGCCAAGGAGATATGCATAGTTGAGTCTTTGTTTCAGCATGCAGTTCAGAATTCAGGTCAAAGCTCGTGTAGTTAATTTTAAGAAGCTGGAAAAGCATTTCTTGTTGTTGCCCAAGGCCTCCAGCCATGCATCACTAGTCTTCTATACATAATGTATGTTTTTTTTGAAAACGTACATAATGGATGTTGTTAAAGCCACTTTCTGGCTTCCAGACTCCAGAATAACAATAATTATTTTTCTTTTTATTTTTTGCTTAACTTCAAATACACAGTGTTTTCTTTAATTTTCTTTATTTTTGACAATTTTCAGTAATTTAAATAGTACTACCATTTCTTCCAATTCAAAATGTAAATCTTTTTAGACTTGGCACGTAAACTAAAGAGACAATCATCAAACAATTAATTTATATATTAAATATTTTTTTACCTCTCATTAATTAGATTGAAATTATAAATAAGACTAAATAAAAATATATTAACATCATTTATTGAGGGTAAATTTGGAAAAATAATCATTAATTTATTTAGAATTTGTAAAACGACTTATATTTTGAAAAATTTCTTCAAATTTAAAACGACTTACATTTTGAAATTGAGAGAGTATATCGTAAAGAAAAGGGAAAAAAGGAAAATAATGTCTACACATGCAACATTGTACGCATGCTATATATATTTATACATCCCCCAATCAAATTCAGTTTAGAACTCTATAAGTCTAAAGTGTATACGTAGCAATGAAGGAGGATGATTTACTTGCAGAGCGACTTCATGAGTAGTCATTTCAAGCTCGATTTGACAAGAGCCATCAATTCTTCTTTCTCGAGGAACCTAAACTTCCATTTAATTTATTCCTTCACGCTGTTGGTTTCTTCGTGGTACACGTGTCGCTCTACGTATCAAGATAAAAATCTCCACAGTCCATAGCAATTCAATAGGGTGACATTCCCATTTCTATTGAAAAAAAAGGCAGTAATACGGAATAGCAAAATGAATTGTGAGGCGTGGGAAAAAACAAAATTATCAAATCACAATTTTTAACTTTTTTACTTATGATACAACAGTCTGTAACTCAATGTATCATACATTTCATTTGATTTTATCATTTTAGTTAATATTATTTTTTTTTTTTATAAAAAGGATTGACCGAACAAAATATTGAACCATGACTTTTCTTTATGTTTTTGTATATACATAGAAAGAGGCTAAAACGTGACAACGGGGATGGGAGACTCCGAGAACATTGTGTTTTGCGCATAATATTATTGAATCATGACTTTATACTTGAAAAACTTTTAACTTTTATTCACCAAAAAATAAACATTACTCCCTCACTATAAAATTTTGAAATAGATTGACCTAGCAGGGATTATAATTCTTATTTTGTACTCCCTCACTGTAAAATATTATCAAAAACCAAAATTTTAAAAACATATACTGTTTTAAAAAAAAGTATGTAAATTTTACCACCCTCTTTTTCCCAACATTATCTGCCATTGGAAATTTTTTCCCACTTGTTTTTCTCGGAAAATGTTTTTTTATACTTATGAAGTCATTAGAATTAGGGTTTTGACTTTGGGAAAATTTGGTTCAAGGGCGGTAGAGGATGTAAAATTAATAAAAAAAGGTATAACCTTAAAATATTTTGTATAAAAGACTGTAATTTATTTGTCAAAAATCACAAAAATAATATAATTTCATATTGACAAAATTATCCTTATAATTTCTATAACTCTCTTCAGTTTAATCAGTCACCATTAACAGCTCGAGAACTGTCCCTAACTTTGGTTCTCCTCTGTATTTCACTGGATTCAAATCCGCGGTAGGGACAATTGGTAAAGTCAGGAGAAATCATCCAAAAAATTAAACTCCGAACTTTAGGAACTTATAGATATTAATTAATTAAGAAGACAAAGAACCAAAACCATGCAAAATAAATTGGGCAAAATCAAAGCTTGAACCCAGACGAAGCGACGCACAGAGCTTTCACCAAGCTCTCTGTTCTCACCGAGCTTTCACCTTTTCATTAGGATGTCGCAGAGTATAAGAAGAGAGTTCGACAGCAGGCCAAGCTGTATTCCCCGGACCCTCGCTTATCTAATAGGGCGTTCTGTTTCAGTTGTTAATGGTTGTTTCTTAAGTGAATTTGCTAGAAACTGTAACTTGGAAGGGTTAATGCTTGACCTTCACTAACGTTGATGATATGTGGCGTGAGCGAACCATTTTGGCCAAATAGGCTTCTGTTCGCTGAAAAAAAAAAAAATTCACGCAGCCGCACCAATACAAATTCTCTGCGTAAAACTAATCACTTCCTAACCCTACCATTCCTTACATAGAGAGGGATTTTGGATTCTTAGAATATTATGAAAAAGCTCAACAAGTTTGCATTGGAATTGTGTTTCTCAAATTCAGAGAAAGGGATTTTTTTTTTTTTTTTATCTCTAAGATAGGTTTAGCCTTTCATTTTATTTATTATTTTTGTTGTGTAAGAAATTATAAGGGTGGTACTGTCAATTCAAAATATTTTTTATTTTATAATTTTTGACAAATAAACTACCGCCCTTCATAAATAATATTTTAGAGTCATACCCATTTTATTAATTTGACTTGTTCTACTGTCTTTTACTCAAATTTTTCCATTGACTTTCATATCTTTTAAAAATTACTCCCTCCGCATTGTCCAAATTGAGTTTTCAAATTATACTAAAACTAGTATAAATTTCAAATATTATATATCGACTATTTTTTTTTTCTTTTAAAGGTGTCGACTATTTCTTTTTGGAATAAAGGGAGTATCATAAAATTGGTTAATAAACACGTTCTCAATTCACATTTCCATAAGATTTCTTCAATGCGAAAGATTTTGGCTTTGTTTGGTTTCACCATTATTAGTTTTTTGTTATTTTCTTAATTAATTTATATTTCCATTCAATTTTTTTTTCTATTTCCACATAGTTTTTTTTGAAAAATATTTTTAATAGAAAAAGAATCAAAATAGGGCCAAACATTTAATATATTGATTTTAATTTTTTAAAATAGGTTTTTTTTTGAAACGTAAAGAGTATGAAAAAACTAAACAAATATAACGATTAAAGTGACATATTGAAAGTATACAAGGACAATAGGTTTTTTTTTCAGAATTTTTTATTATAACTGTTTTATTCCAAAATACCTTTTTATATCTCTAGTACAATTGTTTTACATTCAAATTAGAGAAAAACACCTAAAAACACACATATTAAAAAAACAATCCAAAGATACCTTTAATTTTTCTTAATACATTATGTGTGAATTATTATTACCTCAACTACTTATAATTTGGACTTCGTTTGGATGCTACTCATTGAAAAGTGTATTACTGTTTGGGTTGGAAATGAAATATTATATTGGAATGAGAAATATGTTACTACCTCCGTCCAAAAAAAAAAAAAAAGTCCACATTGAGTTTTCAAATTTGTACTAAAAATAGTACACAACTCAAAACTCAATATAGGCTATTTTTATGGGACCGATGGAGTAATAAAAAAAATCTGAAAAACCAACCGAAAAAGCCTTGATATTTTCAATAGGAATACTAGGTCTTCAAACTCCAGCGGTGTGAAGTTATTTCAATTTGATTATTTCTCTGTCGAAAAAAAAAAAGGAGATCTTGCAACTAAAATCTTCCGCCCTAAAGACCACACTGCAGACATTCATGATTACTCTTGCTGTTTGTCGTTTGCATTTTGGGAGCCTTACGATAAATTACACAAATCATTTCTCCAGTATATACTACTTCGGAAACGATTAAAACAAAAGCAAAATTTATTGTTGTAAGTTTCTGAATAATTATCATGTTTAAAGATTTTTTTTACATTAATAAATCAAATTGTATCATCAATTCGAATCAGAAAAAGTAATTAATAGTCTATACTCTATCGTCTATAATTAAATTCATACTATAAAATAAAAACGAAAAAAGGTCTAAATGACGTTTTACATGCCTTTTCATTTTTCCAAGGAAGCAAAATCCAACCATACCTATCGGCCTATGTATGATACGCAGGGCTCCGAGTGTTTGGCCTAAAGCTGTCAGAAACTTTGTTTTTAGGAACGGCAGTCAAGATTTCTACTCCGAACGGGCAGCCCACAAAAAAGCTGTAGAGAAAAGTCCCGTCAGTTCACTTCTTTCTCCAAACAGTCTCTTTCTCATCATTCCTTCTTTTTTTTTTTTTTTTTTTTTTGTGTGTTTCTATACATTCTTTTTCTCTGTCTCTGTGTGTTTGTTTCTATAGCTTTCTCTCCTTTCATGCCCCCTGGTTTCACTCTCCCATCCCTTTATGGAAAAGGTCAGGAAGGCATCATTTTTAATTCTAAAGTTTTGGATTTTTAAACACTCTTGTTTTTCACCATCATTGTTTAGCGAGTTAGAGACCCTTTTTCTGGAACTTTGCTGTTTATATGCTTTAAGCCAATCTATGGTAAAACTTTTGTGCTTTTATGTCAAAGTCTCGGGTGATTAAAGTTTTTTTTTTTTTTTTAATGCTTTTATGGCTATATGTTTACTTGCTATTGATGAATGCAGTTGATTGAAGTGATTGTTTCGTTTAACTTGACATTTGTGATTAATGCACACAATGCTGTGTGAATTAACCTAGTAAAAAAGAGTTCTTGCAAAATTCTGTTACTCACACTTCACAGACTTGAGTAAACTGTGAAAATTTTGTGTCATGGTTGGAGTAGATTATCTGTTTGATTTTGATTTTGATTTCTCGCGCTTTTGTAATACCACGGACTATTATTTATGGTGATTCTCTTGTACTAACCATTGATCTCCTTTAAATTTTGTTGACCAGTTAGTAGTTTCTACTTTAATGATTCATGTATATCTTTTTTTGGTAAACTAGAGCTGTTTGTTTGTTTATGGGTGACAGGGAACTTCAAATTTCTTAAAATTCAGATGGATATTCATCAATGAATTCCCAAGCAGTATAGAATTAGAATCACTGGTTTTGTTTGGTTACCAGCGTAGTCCTCTTGTTGTTCTCAAGTCAAACAGATCAATTTTTTTATTTTTATTTTTTTTTAAAATCATTTCTCTTCGTGTTGCATGAAATTTGGATACAATTTAAGATTCTTCTACAAGTGTTTGGTGTTTATTGGAACTTTTATGCGATAATTTAAAGGTTCTTGATTTTCAGGTGGATGAGTTGGGGAAGTAACCAATAATATGGACAAGGAGTCCCCTAACATTAAGAAGTATTGTAGGACGAAAATTTGCAGCGAAGCTAAAGGTAAAGGTAGGGTTATTCCTAGAAGTGTGAAGATCCGTTCTGAAAATGGAGATAGAATGAATGAGGATGATGATTCGGATAGTGGCCGAGATAGAATAAGTAGTTTGCCCGAGCTAGCAATTAGTAACATCTTATCCCGCCTTCCTATACAGGAAGCTGTTCGAACTAGTGTTCTATCTAGAAATTGGATCAGCAGTTGGACTACCATTAGCAAAGTAAAAATAATGGATGGACATCCATATTCCGGGATGCAATTCTTGAACATTCTGGAGCAGATAGTTGGCAAGGGTTTATGCTTGAAGGAAGTAGAACTTCTCTGTTTTCATAGACACGACCCTTCCCGTATGAAGTCATTGCTTTTGGATATATTGAAAAGTGATGTACTTGACAGCCTTTACCTTGCAGGATTTGAGCTAGACTCTGTTTTCGGTCCAAGTTTATTTGATACTAATTCATTGACCAAATTGTATCTGCTTGGTGGATCTTTTGAAGTTATTGCTGGCATTCATCTGCATCGTCTTAGATCACTGAATCTTGTTGCGATTAATTTTCAGAATGCTGATTTGTCTTCTGACCAACTTTTCTTCAACACGCCAGTACTTGAAGAATTTAAGTTGAGTGGTTGCTTTTTCTCTAATGTCAAAAGCCTTAGAATAGTTGCTCCGAGGCTTGCCACTTTTGAGTTGACTTTGTGCAGCTATGACAGTGAGTTTAGTAGAATGAGTGATCAATGTGCTGTAGAGATTTCTGGTGGCCGGAATATGAACTTCACATATAGAGGTACATTAACAGAGAAGTTTACCTTTGCTGATCCTGCCACACTAGGCAATGCAAAGTTGAGGATAGGAGCACTTTTTCATGATGGTCAAATTTTTTCACGAGGGATGGATTGTCGAGCTCGTTTGATATTAGAAAAGTTTTCTGCTTCTCTGAATGTGCTTGATCTGTCCATGGAAGTTATTGTGGTAGTACTTAAATCTGAAGCTTTATAATCTCATTTACCGTTCTGTCCCAGAACAAAATGTTTATTCATTTGTTTATTTAATCTTGTTGAAGGCATTAGCAAGTGAGCCTCCCTATTCTCTTCCAAAGTTTGATAAGCTGAACAATGTGATTATTCGTCTACCCTGCACAGCCGGTGGTTACATGTGCGACGTTGTCCTGGAATTTCTCAAGAATGCGCCGAATCTAGAGGCGCTCGTGATTTTACAGGTACTAAAACAAAACATCTAACATTCATGCATGTTCTCGTTTTCTTTGAAGTTGTTATACAACTCCATTTTGCAGGAAGAATGTGAAGGATGCAAATATTGTTACGAAGCCATAAGAAGGATTGAAGGATGCACGGGAAATGAGAGCTTGTCTGGTGATTTCTTGGCTCATCTGAAGACACTGAGGTTCGAAAACTTTAATCCCTGGGCCGAGGAGGTGTTGTACTTGCTGAAGTTGTTGCTGGAACATGTATCTGTACTAGAAGAGCTAACAATTCTATTCAAGCCTGGGGTAATATCTGAGAAGCTAAAAGAGCGGTTCTTATCTATCCTGGGGGCCTCTAGCCAAGGATCCATTCAGTTATCTTCCAATTGTAAAATTATAATAGGCTAGTTCATTTCGGATCATCGGTCCCTGTAACCACGATTCTATCGATGCTCATAGTACGGGATCTTCTCGTCCTCATGGACTCGTGTCCCTCCGCACATCACTGGTTATACGACACTAGTGATGTGAATAGGGACATTATTCATATGAACCAGGGAATCCGTTCCCAAACTCTCATATGTGAGCGTATTTTGTCTCCAGGGGATCTTAAACTTATCTATTGTGCTTGGAATTTGATGTATGGACCCTGGAAATGTTACATCCAAGTTTTCTTTGATGTGTTGCATTTCATAGATTGAATTGATATAGGAAGAAGCATCAAGAGCTTAGAAGTAACATGGCTTTTAGGTGTTTCACCGAGAGTCATGAGGCTCCTGTGAAGATACCGGTTTTGAAGATATAACTCGAGCTACCTCTGCTCTAAGATGTTTGTTTCCAAGCATTTATTTTATGGCATTCATATTTCATTTGACAATTGAAAACCAAGATAGTCCAAATTTGAGTCCAAGCTTAGAAAAGGAACAAAATGCTTCCCTATCTACATAGAATAGAAATGTATACCGTTAACAAATTACAACGTGAACTATCTTTTTTTTTTTTCTCTCCAGAATGGATGTAGTACCCTTATGGTCTTAAAAATTATCTCACTTTGAGTTTATATTAAGTTTAGAATTTTATACTAAGAAAAAACATTACAAATCTCGAATGGATTATTTTTTTTGGGTACAAAGGGGTAATATTTAACTGAGGTAGGACGCATTAATTATCCAAATTCTTGTTTCGTTTTTTTAGTATGTTTTTAGGTATTTTTTTAATTGAAAATGTAAAAATATGTATTAAAAATGTAAAAAGGTATATTTGGATAAAATAATTATTATTTTATTATTATGAAAAAACCATAAAAAAACAAAACAAACAGAGCCCAAAATACTCGGGAATACTTTGTGAAAAACTAAAAGTTCCGGTCTATCTGTCAATTACGCCACTATTTTTCTTTCTTTACCCATTTTGATTTCCTGCCATAACCTTTGACCGGAAATTGCCATCATCATTGTGGGGGATAAACTACAGAGGGATGAAGAGAGGAGGGAGAAACGGAAGCTACATCGGTGTTGGCGGAGGTGCGGATGATGAAGATGACAAGGGTTTACTGTGGAAGCTTCCGGAAGTAAAGTCGAAGCAACTTGGTAAGGTTGGACCCGCTTTCGGAATCGGAGTTGGCTGCGGTTTTGGACTCGCCTTCGGTCTCATCGGCGGTAAGCCGGCTTTTCCCCCCTCCTCTTCTAATTCTGTGTCCAAACTTAAGTTCTTTTTGAATTTTTGAACTCTACTTCCGTCGATGATTAGGTACGGGTTTTGGAGCCGGGGTGCCGGGTCTACAGCTGGGTTTGGGAGTCGGAGCAGGTTGCGGAATTGGGTTGGGATTTGGGTATGGAGTTGGCCGAGGTATTGCTTACGATCACAGCCGCAGATATTCCAACATCGACGGCTTCAAGTTTCCCTCCCCGTCAACCCTCTTCCCCAATCAGTATGTTCATTTCTTCTTCCCTCTGTTTTTCCCTCTTTCTTTTTTGCCTGCATATCTTTGTTGCAGTAGATTGTTCCCTTGAGGGAGATGTGTTTGTGATTTTAAGTGCATTACATCCGCCTGCTGGTTTTCTTGTTAATTTGTTTTGGTAATAACCCAAGTAGAAGTTAGACACAATCATTTTGACTATACCCGAATGCCTTGTTGATGTTTTTCTTTGTTATGTTCTACTTTCTCTATCCAAAAATGATTGTCTAGTTTGGATTTTCACTTTTAGTACAATTTGAAGTAAAAATGAAAATCCAAACTGGACAACATTTGGGGACGGAGGGAGTACTTGAGTTCGGAAATTTTAGTTGAGACTATGAATGAGATTTAGATTTAGTTGAAAAGACTGTAATTCTGAAGTAGTAAATGCTGTCTATTTCTGTTTTCTTAATCTTAATATATCAGGGATGAGATTGGTGGCCTGATTGATGAGCTTGTAGTGAACACCAAGAAGCTTGTCGACGCTACTGCCAGAGAGATGGATAAATGGAGAAGGCCTTGAGTTCTTACTAGATGTTGAAGATATTAAATTCTTATGTAGAAACATGTAGTTTTTAAAGTAGAAAATGGAAGCATTGGAAAAGAAGGGTCTTCTTTCCTCTCCACACGAAGGCTAGCTTGGCCGTTTTAGTTGATATTGAAGAGTGGATATGGTTTTTATGTGTACTCAGGGTTAACAATAACCAAGATTTCTGCTCGAACCTCATTTTTTTGTGTGGAAATTATTAACTAATATACCACTTCTTCTGAAATTATTAATCTTCTTCGGTTCAGGAGATATCATTGGTAAAGTTTTTGTTGGAGCATGCATCTGTGCTGGAACATTTGAGGTTCTCAGTGTCTTGTGATATAGTTCCTGAGGATTTAGAGAAACAGTTCTGTTTTGTTACGCTGAGCCTCTAGTCAACTATCACTAGTTTTCAACTCTTGAGTACGCTTCCTTTTGTTTCCCACAGTAAGATTTTTAAGATTTTTTTTTTTTTTTAATAAAAAAGTTGCTTTTGTTTATCATCGAATCAACTGATTAGGCAACAAATTATATAGATTAGTTAGTGAGAAGCAGTCTTTAGAACTTGGTCAAAGTTAGCAAAGTCAACCATAGTCTGCTAGCATATTTTATAGTGAAAATGAAAAGCCGCAAGCAGTGAACGAACTGACGCAAGTGTCCAAGAAAACGTACCAATAAACTATACAGTAATCCTGAATGAACAACTAAAATCTTATCGTTTTGAGATTCTGCTGGTCAATCAGATAATTCTGAAAGAACAATGGTTGCAGAAAAAGTGTCATTATTTTTCAATCTTCTGGCTACTCTGCTTCTTTCTTCATCACCTTTGCACATATTCTGAATGAACAACTAAAATCTCATCGTTTTGAGATTCTTCTGGTCAACCAGATCATTCTGAAAGAACAATGGTTGCAGAAAAAGGGTCACTATTTTTCAATCTTCTAGCTAATCTGCTTCTTTCTTCATCACCTTTGCTCATAAGTTCCCAAGAACAGAGTTAGATCTCATATGCAAACCTTTCAACTTCATGGATTAACAGTCCTTCTCGGATCGACAATGGTATGGATCTTGATACATCTTGGTAACCTATCCTCCTAAGAGAAAGTGATGGTGATGGAAGGAAGTTTGGATGCAGCTTCTATTGTGGATATAACAATAACGACTGTGTTTTTGGAGTCCTGATTTTCCCCAGTAGTGTGAACTTTACGCGGTACAATTACTATGCGAACCCTGAATTGGTGTGGTCTGCAAACAGGAACAATCCTGTCGGAGTCAATGCTACTTTGCAACTCAGGCAGGATGGAGATCTGGTCTTGGAAACTCCCGAGGGAACCTTGGTGTGGTCTAGCAATACAAGCGGAAAAAATTGGTTTCTGGATTGAACTTAACGGATCAGGGGAACCTGGTTTTGTTTGGCAGAAACAATGAGATCATCTGGCAATCATTTGATTATCCTACAGACTCACTGCTTCTGGGACAGAAGTTGGTTGCAGGGCAGAAGTTAACAGCCAATGTTTCTGAAATGAATTTTGATCCAGGTTTGCTGTCCCTTTCTATTGACAACAATCGTTTGATTGCATATGTAGAGTCAAATCCATCACAAATATATTATGCCTCTGTATTGGACGGTCTTCCTTATGTTGAATTTACAAATGGTAGTTTCAATGGTTGACCATTCCTCCTGGAACAGTTGACCAGTTCATAAAATTTGGCGTTGATGGTCATTTGAGGGTTTACCAGTTTATAGGAAGGTTTTGCACAGCAGTTGCTGATCTTTTAGAAGCAAAACTTGGTGATTGTGGGCATCCATTAGTGTGTGGAAATTGTGGTGTCTGCTCAAACGGATATTGCCGTTGTCCTGATATAAGGAAGTTCTTCAGGCAAATAGATAACTGAAAAACAAATCTAGGATGTTCTTTGGTCACTCCCATTTCCTGCAAAACTTCCAAGGATCATATTCTCGTGGAGCTAAAGAATACTACATACTTTGTACTTGAAGCCAGCTTAGTGAAGTTGCCTGAAGTGGAGTCAGTTGAGGATTGCAAGAGTATGTGTCTCAGTAACTGCTCGTGCAAAGCGGCTCTCTTTGTGTTAGATTCATGGGGTGGACCCTCAGGGAAGAAAGGTAAATGCTTATTGCTGAATGAAGTTTTTTCCATCATCAACAAGGTGACTCCCGCAACTCTTTTCCTTAAGGTGCAAAAACCTGAAGTCATGATATCTAGAGGCAAGAGAAAGGTTATAACCGTAGTTGCATCTGCTGTTGTGGCTTCCTTTTTGCTTGGTTTTGATGATTGGATTCTGCCTTGTTCATCGCCGGAGAAGATTAAAGAATTCCAATCAACTTAAAGGTGAGTTCCTGGATCAGCTAAAGGGAATGCCTACAATATTCTCCTATGAGGTGTTGAAAACGATGACAGGAGATTTCTCGAAAAAACTAGGGGAAGGAGGATTTGGCAGTGTTTAAGAAGGGGTTCTCGACGATGGCACTAAAATTGCAGTCAAAACGTCTTAAAGGTTTAAGCCAAGTGAATGAGTCTTTTTTAGTTGAAGTACAGACGATTGGTAGCATTCATCACGTGAATCTGGTTAAACTAATCGGATTTTGTTTCCAAAAATCACATAGGCTTTTGGTTTATGAGCATATGGCAAATGGATCATTGGATAGATGGATCTTTGATAAAGATCAAAGCCATTCTCTTCCATGGCACACGAGAAGAAAAATCATCAAGGACATCGCCAAGGGATTAGCTTATCTCCATGAAGAATGCAGTCAGAAAATAATTCACTTTGACATCAAACCCCAAAACATCTTGTTAGATCAAAAGTTCAATGCAAAAGTTTCTGATTTTGGATTGTCGAAGCTAATTGAGAAAGATCAAAGTAGAGTTTTTACAAGGATGAGAGGAACACCAGGATATCTAGCTCCAGAGTGGTTGCGCTCAAACGTCACAGAAAAAGTGGACGTGTACAGTTTTGGCATCTTGGTTCTGGAAATCATATGTGGGAGGAAGAACTTGGACTGGTCTAGGGATGATGATGAAGACAGTCATCTCCTAGATCTTTTTAAGAAAAAAGCAGAAGACGGCACAGTTCGAGAATTGGTGGATGAGAAAAGCGAGGACATGCAGATCCACGTCAAGGAAGCCGAGGAGGTGATGAAGATTGCTGCGTGGTGCTTGCAGCATGATTCCACCAAACGGCCTTCAATGTCTCAGATAGTTAAAGCATTAGAAGGTTTCATGCCTTCTGAAACTAACCTGCAGCATAGTTTCAGTTATCCATCTGTGGAGGACGGACAGAAAGATTCTGATGCTAGTCTAATTATGGCATCACATTTGTCTGGACCAAGGTAAACAAGAACCAAGTCCTGGAACAATCAGTTTTTACAGCAATTCAAGTATTCAAGCATAAAATTAGTTAGTTTTGGACAATCACAGATGTATGATACTGCGATTTTATTTCGATATAGCTCTTTATGATACTAAGGAGGTTTCAGAGCCAAGTACTTCATCAGTAATTCAATCAGGTTACTGAATTTAAGAAAAACCAAATAAAATTAAGATTAATAACTAGCAAAGTCTGCATTATTTTCCTTGAATTTATCAGTATCTTCACCTGAAAAGTAATCAGAACGTGAACAACCGGTGTCACTGACTTCATGATCCCAATCAAGCAACACTAGGCTCTCAACAAGGGTAGCAAACTTAACAGATTACCGCTTCATTGATTATAAACAATGACCACTTTCTAACTTCTCATCTTAGGAGTCCAAGGAATCTGGAGATACCAATAATTGATTAGTATCCAAGACTAATGTTGTTCATCTTAGTTCAGGATTCTTCATTCTGACGCATCTCGATGACCCATATGGACCAGCTGAAAGTCATAGAGTCGCCTTCAAACTGAAACATTGCAAGAAATCCCTTATAAAACATCAACCGTATCGACCATATAAATTGCCTTGGCAACATCATCACCTCAAATCATAATTGATATGATCATATCCAAAACTGAAAAATTGCCAGTTTAGGAAGATGAACACAGAATGACTTCTTAAGAGACGGATTCCAGATGACTACTGCCTGCAGATCAGGAAAGCGTAATAATCCATTTGCACTTTCAACATCGCCGACCCACCGCATCATCACATAATCTGTCGTAATAGCTAAAACCCATGAAGCTCAGTTCAGCGATTACTGATGGATTGCCCAAAAAAGTATCTGGTGGGGTTTTCTTTTATGCATTTGTGTGTGTGGAAATAAATTCAGAGCTAGTGAGGAGAGAGCACTCTTCTGGCAAAAGAACTGACATTTTTTCCCCCCCTGATTTTAACTTTGTTCTTTTGCAAATCATCATCTTCTTTGTTCAGCTGTGGGGATTTTTTTTTGGCATTGTTATTTACAGTTATAAAATTGCTCATTTACAGTCGTTAGGATAATTTTCCTCTAATAAATAACCTTTCTCCTTAAATTATCAAGTTTAAATTACTTTATCTTCTTCTTCAACTCTCAAAGAAAAAATCAAAAAAATCAAAATGTCAAATTTAAAACAACAATTTTTAATACTACTCATTTAAATTTTAAAAATATAAACAACAAAACTTAGTACTACTCATTTTAAAAAAACTAAGTATTGAAAAAATAATAAATAACTAAAATGAATATAACACAAAAAAAAATTTAAAAAAATGAAAAAAAAATTCTGGTCCAAGGTAGCCGGCCCAAAACCGGCTACCCATGGAGGACCAACCGGTCCGAAACCGGCTACCCAAAGAGAGGTAGCCTACCTCTCTTTGGGTAGCCGGTTTCGGACCGGTTGGTCCTCCGGCTACCTCTCTTTGGGTAGCCGATTTCGGACCTGCTGGTCCTCTATGGGTAGTCGGTTTTGGGCCGGCTACCTTGGACCCTAATTTTTTTTGAAAATTTCTTTTTCATTTTTTTTTGTGTTATATTCATTTTAGTTATTTATTATTTTTTCAATATTTAGTTTTTTTAAATGAGTAGTATTAATCTTTGTTGTTTATATTTTTTAAATTTAATTAAATTTAAATGAGTATTATTAATAATTATTAATTATGTAAATGAAATTTAATTTAGTGTTAATTATATTTTTGTGTTATTTTTATTATTATTGTTATATTTATTTTAGTTTTAATATATGAATAAGAAGTATTAAGTAATTTTAATAATTGATGTTTATTATATTTTTAATGTAATTAAATTTAAATAAGTAGTATTAATTAGAATTTGAAAATTAATTTACTATTAATTATATTTTTATTATGTATTGTTTAATATTAATTTTTATGTGAATGAAATTTAATTTAGCAATGAAATTTATTATTGGTTGTTTCTCGCGATCCGCCGTTTTTTAGTTTCCTAATTTTTGTAGATCTAAATTTGAAAGATGGGGGTACGGCTGTTCCATTTGACCCGTGGTTCGGGTCGACCTGCTGATTCAATCCGACCCAAACCGAAACCGAACCGAAATATCAGTTTCGGATCGGTTCGAAAATCAGTTACGTAGAACCGTCTGGAACAGTTCGGATCAACACTTGGAACCAAATTGAACCGAAATCTTCCAAACTCTTTCGTACACGTTATTTTCAGACTTAGACAAACTCCACCCTCAAACCTCACTCCCGGCGTCATCTTTTTGCTCACTTCGGCGACCTCCATTCTGGCGACTAGATGGACGATGGTGCCATCGAATTGTGATTATACCCATCAAACCTTCGATCTACCTGACGTTGACTTCCGGGTCTAGTGCTAATTTCCGCCGACTCCACAGAAACGGCAGCTCCGTGCTCCGGTAACGTCCGGATCTCTCTTGCTCAACTGCATCTTGAATGACAAAGAGGTAATTCAAGAACTCAAACGATCAATTCATTCAACGAGTCTGCTGAAAGGCAGGATGGGATCTTTTACAGTCTCTGTGCTGCTTATGCACTCGTTTCTTCAGTTGCCTTTGTAATGATTACTTTTCTTTTCTTTTTTTATTGTTATTTTCTGGATTTTAGTTTGTGACTTTGATGATTATATGAGGTAATTTTTAGTAATCTTGAAACCTTATATTATTGTTTTAGCTCGGGTGTTACATTCCAACTCAGAATTTGGGTGTTGAAATTATATCTGCCGTAAAAAAATTTATTCTTTCTTGCTTAATTTAAGCTACAACGGGTCAATTTTCTCTGGGATTTTTCGTTTTCTGAGTTAAAAAATTACTTTTTATGCTTAGCTAAAGTCTCATGGTCTGAAAAGTCATTTTACTTGGTTAATTCTACCTCTAGAAGTTTCTTTATCCTTGTTATTGTCTTATTGAAGTATGATGTGGTAGATAATATAATTTTCATGCACATCACTCCTGTATTCGGTTGATTTGAAAGTAGATCCAAATGATACATCTTTTGATCTATTAAAGTAGTGGAAGTCAAATGCTGTTAGATATCCCACACTAGCCCTTATGGCTAGAGATGTGCTGGCTATTCCTGTGACTATTGTGGCTCCAGAGTCTACGTTTAGTATTGGTGGTAGAATTATTGATTCATTTTGAAGCTCATTGTCTCCAAGGATAGTAGAAGCTAGTGTTTGTGCACAAGATTGGTTGAGAAAAAAATTGCGAACCTATTTTTGTGGAGGACTACTTGGATGAGCTTGAGGAAATTGAAGCAGGTAATACATGCTTGGTTTGAAAACAATGTTGCTATTACATATATTCCTATATTTGATATGGTTATACTTATTCTTGTTTTGTATTTGATTTTCGATGTGACAGGGATAGCACGATTGAATGAAGTACACCCTATCATTGATGTTGAGTAGTGGGGAAGGTTACTTTTTTGGATTTTGGATGAAGTTGAATAAACCTTATTGGTGATAGCTCTGTCTTTGTGTTTTCTTTCTGTTTCCTTTTATAAAGTGAAGGTTTTGTAATCACTCTAATGACGTCATAGATACATGGTGAAGTGAATATTTTCTGAGTGTGAAAGAAACATTCAGTGCGAGTTTGTTTACCGTTTAGTGGCAAACTGCATTGCTTTCCATTACATTTTTAGGTTTTGGGATCCATACTACATATTGAGCAGATTAATTTGGTTTAGGGGGATCGATTTCTTTTTTCATGCTTCATTCTGCCTTTCTGAAACCTTCTTTTATTGTTCTTGTGGTGCTATGATTATCAGCTTCAATTGCACTTCTTTTGCACTTTATATATTCTCCAAAGCTTTTTATGTGCCTCTGTTTCTTTATATGTTAAAAAACTCACAACTTATTTCATTGCTTGTCTTTTTGTTGGCACTCTTAAGCCATCAAAACAACTTTTACTGATTGATTTAGAACCTGTTGCTTATTGTAAAACACTAGAATCTTCTTAAAACTGGATCTTAAAGCTTTGTTGCTTGTTTGATTTCTATAATTTTTATCCAGATGTGGCCGAACAGGCATTTAAGAAGGCACAAATTTTGGTTTCATAAATTAATGAATCACTCGTCTCATTTTTTTTGTTTGGTATAGTTTAATTAAAGTGATGATTGTTAAAAAAAAGACAGTAAATAAATAAAAAATTAACTGATCTTTTCGGGACGATAAGACATTTTAAAAGTCATGATTATAATAAATGTACCAAAAGAAAGGGCAAAATAATTAAAAATATATTAGAAATTTTTTTTCAAAAATAAATAAATAAACAAATCAAACGGGTCAAAACGGTTCAAATCGGTCTTGATCCGAAAAATTCCGAAACCGAACTGAACCGAACCGACACTATCCAAATTATTTGGGGCGCGAACCGTTCCGAATCGATAAGAACGGTTCGGTTTGGTTTCGGGTCGGGTCGGTTTCAGCAACCCTAGATGGGGGGTTTTATTTTTTTGGTTTGAGGTTGGAGAAGAAGAAAGGAGAATAATAGGAAGAAGAGGAGGAAAAAAGAGAAAAATAGGAGAAAGAGGGGCAAAATTGTGATAACGACGGTAAATGAGCAATTTTTATAATTGTAAAAAGTAATTCAGTTTTTGTTAAGAAACCTTTGACATAAAATGGCCCTAACTTTTGTTCTATTACAAAATTGACCCCAACGAGCCCCGGAAATCGCAAATTATCCTATTCTCCCATTGTTTTGACTTTTGCCGTTTTGCATACGAAATTTTGGAGGCGAGAGTGTTCTTATTAGAAACTTCTAAATTCAGTCTCTTCTTCAGTCCTTTGATGGTTGTGCTATCTTTTTGCATTCTCAGTCCTTAGCCATATCTGAAGCAATTTCAGGTTAGACACAACTTGGATTCATTCTGAATTTTGGACTTTGGAGCATTATCGTTGCTTTTTCCACCTGCTAATTATGCTTGATTTTCTGTGTGTGTGTGTGTTTTTTTTTTTTTTTTTTTTGGGTGAATGCAGTTGATTAAATTTGCCGTTTCTTTGTGGTTGAAACTTTCACGAGCCAGGGGGAAAAAAAGGGGGGTCCATACATTCATCCTGGCATTGTGATTTGTGTCATCACTCTTGCTGTCTGTAAAACCCTAACATTCGTTCTGCAAATCCATATCTTTTTGGGGAGCCTTTGGTATAAGCACTTAGATAACTTTTCGAAGTTTCTGTTTTTTGCTTGTCCATTTCTTCACTGAAAGAGATACTTTTCCCTGATCAATAAACTCTCGATTTTGATTCATCGCACTTTTGTGATTCCATTTAATGAAAAGATAGCAGAGCACCCCTTCTCCCGAAGTTACGGGGTCATTTTGCCGAGTTTCAGGGGCCAGCACCAATCATTGGGTCCTTTCTAAATGTTTCCCTTCTTTCTGCTGTATTGATCATTGCCCCTGCTACTTTCATAGTACATGTATGTTTGTGAATGTTACTTACTTGAGCCGTAATCATAAGTAAAAGATAACTTGATTTTTCGAAAATCATTAGTAAATCCGCATTTTCATTGATGCAATCTCCAGAGTTGTCCGAATTGCTGCGTTTCCAGCATAGTTCTTTTTTTTTTTTTGTAAATATATAAAGTATCAATGGATTGTGTTTTCTCTGAAACTGCAAGAAATTGGATTAGCATTTCAGATTTCGTAATATGGCTGTTGTATGCTCAACTTATGAGATAATTTAAATAATTGTTGTTGATTTTCATATTGTAAATTTTGAATCAAGAATATGGATGGGAAACCCAATCTCATGAAGCAGAATTTAAAGGGAATTTGTTATGCTGATGCAAACAGCGAGGATAGATTATGTAATCTACCTGATTTACTGTTAAGTAACATCTTATCCTGCCTGTCAATACAGGAAGCAACTCGATCATCTGTTCTATCTAGATCTTGGGTTGACAAGTGGACTGCCATTAACAAGTTGAAAATATTGTATCAGCCACAATACCCGGAAATGCTATTCCTGAAAAATGTAGAGAAGATACTTGGGAAGGTTTCGTGCATAAAAGAAGTAGAACTTTCCTGTTGTTCTGAACGTATTCTTGAAAGCCATATAAATGCATTGCTGTCAGTTGTGCTGAAGTGTGAATCATTTCGCAGCCTTTTCTTTGAAGATATAGGAAGAAATGTTGTTTTCAGTTCTTCTTTGTTCGGTGTCAATTTATTGACCAAATTGGTACTGAGGAGTTGCCGTTTTGCATTCAGTGCTGACATTTGTTTTCATCATCTTAGATCTCTGAAGCTTAATTTAGTTCTACTTGAGAATTCTGATAATACTCCTAGGAAAATCTTCTTCAACATGCCAGTACTTGAAGAGTTTGAATCGAGTTGGTGCACATTTTTCAATGTGAAGAGCATCAAAATAGATCCTCCTTTGCTGGCCAGCTTTGAGATGACTTCGTGCAAGTACTATGACAACCACTTCCGTATGCACGATCAATGTGTTTGTGGAGATCTCTGGTTGCCGCAATGCAAAATGCTAGGTTGAACATTGATTGCAAACATTCATTGGAAATGTCTACTATTGGAAGAGTTGGGTTCTCGAGTCCGTTTTCTATTGAAAAAGTTTTCTGCTTCTCTCAGGGTGCTTGACCTGTCTTCGAGGGTTATGATGGTAATCATTCTAGTATTATTTTTAAAGCATTCTCTTGCATGATCTGCATATATGACTTAATCACGATTTGTTTATGTTTATTGAATCTTCACAAAGGCTTTACAACGCGTAGCTCCATATCCGTTTCCGATGTTTGATAATTTGAAGCACGTCAAGTTTTCTCTACTGTGTGGTTACCTGCATATTACAGCCGTGGAATTACTCCAGAATACACCACATCTGGAGATGCTCATTATTTCATCGGTATGAATGACAATAACAATTTTTTGGAGATGTCGTATTTCCAACTAGTTTGAATTATTTCCACATACTCCAGATCTGCAATTCATTTTTTATGTTGTAGGAGATGTGCGAAGAATGCAGGAAGTGTACAGATGCCGAAAGAGGAGCATGCATCTCAAGGAATAGTTCCTGGTTTGAAAGTGGCATTGGAAACAAGAGCTTGCCGGCTAACTTCTTAGCTCATCTCAAGATGGTGAGGTTTGAATACTCCCCTGCTTGGGACCTGGAGATTTTCTTAGTAAAGTTTTTGTTGATGCATGCATCTGTGCTCGAGGAGTTGAGATTTCCATTCTCATGTGCTGTACTTTCTAAGGAAATAGAAGATCAATTTTTACTGTTCCCCGGAGCCTCTAGCCCAGTATCACTAGTTTTCTACCCTCAACGCATAAACTAGTTCCTATTGAGACTTGGATTTTGGTCAACATGTTCATCTCTCTATTCGGTATGCCTTTGTCTTTACTTAAATTTGATGTCTGGAAATGAATTTATGCCCAGTTGGATTAAGAATTTATTTGTTTTTATTTTCATTTTTAGAATTTATTAGATTTCCTGAACGTGGTCAAATATAGACGATAGCAAAGTCAAGCATAATCAGCTAGTTTTTAATGATAAGACGCAAGAAAAATCCTGAAAAGCTAGTTTATTCAAAAGTTGCATCATAACGCACTTACAAGTGTCCGAGGAAACAAGGAACCAGTGACTATCAAATCCTTCTGAATTAACATTAAAAATCTGATCATCTTGAGGAATCAAAGCAAAGCCTCTGAAAAAATGGTTGCGGAAAAGGGACCATTACTTTTCCATCTTCTGGCTGTTCTGCTTCTTTCTTCATCACCAGTTCTCATAAGTTCCCAAGAACACAAGTATATCTCATATGCAAACCTTTCAACTTCATGGATCAACCATCCTTCCCGGATTGACAATGGCATAGCTGTTTATATATCCTGGTCACCCGTCCTTCTGAGAGAAAGCAATGGTGATGGAAGAAAGTTTGGATGCAGCTTCTACTGTAGAAACACCAACAATGAATGTGTTTTTGGAGTCCTGATTTTTCCCAGCGTTGTTAACTTTACGCGATACAATTACTATGGGTCCCCAGAATTGGTATGGTCTGCAAACAGGAACAGCCCTGTTGGAGTTAATGCTAGTTTGCAGCTAAGACAAGATGGAGATCTGGTCCTGGAAAATCCTGATGGCACCTTGGTTTGGTCCACAGATACTAGAGGGAAATCTGTTGCAGGGTTGAACTTAACAGAACAGGGCAACCTGGTTTTGTTTGGCAGGAACAATGAGGTCATTTGGCAATCTTTCGATCATCCTACGGATTCATTACTTCTGGGGCAGAGGTTGGTTACAGGGCAGAAGTTAACAGCAAATGTTTCCGAATTGAAATTCAACACAGGTTTGTTCTCCCTTTCTGTTGACAGAGGTCGGTTGATAGCATATGTAGAGTCTACTCCACCACAAATATACTATGCCTCTGTACTGAAAGCTCTTTCTTATGTTGAGTTTACAAATGGGAGCTTCAATGGCTCCGTCATTCCTTCTGGATCAGTAGATCAATTCCTAAAATTGGGATTTGATGGTCACTTGAAAGTGTATCAGTTTAAAGAATCATTTTGGACAGAAACTGCTGATCTTTCTAACGAAAAATTAGGACCTTGTGGGGAACCTTTAGTTTGTGGAAATTATGGCGTTTGTTCAGACGGATTTTGTCGTTGTCCAGACACTGAAACTGGTCAAGGGAGCTTTTTTAGGCAAATGGATAATTGGAAACCTAATCTTGGGTGTTCATTGGTCACTCCTATCTCCTGCAATCACTCCAAAAGACATAGACTCTTGGAGCTAAAGGATACAACTTACTTTGCTTTCGAAGCCAGCTTTGTGAAGATGTCTAAAGGGAAGTCAGTGGAGGATTGCAAAAGTATGTGCCTTGGTAACTGTTCATGTAAAGCGGTCCTCTTCATGCTAGATTCATGGGGTGAAAACTTAGGGAGAAAAGGTGGATGCTTGGTGTTGAATGAAGTCTTTTCCATTATTAACAAGGACAGCAATGCAAGTGCTGTGTCGAATTACAACACAACTCTTTTTCTCAAAGTGCAAAAATCTCAAGCCATGTCGAGACGGAAGAAAAAGGATATAACCATAGTTGCATCAGCTATTGGAACTTTTGCTGGCTTGTTTTCTGTAATTGCGTATTCCCTTGTGCATTGTAGGAAGAGATCAAAGGAATCAAAGGAAATGGAAGGGGGCTTCCTGGAACGTGTACCGGGAATGCCTACAGCATTCTCTTACGAGGACTTGAAAACTATGACATTGGATTTCTCAAAAAAACTAGGGGAAGGAGGATTTGGCAGTGTTTATGAAGGGGTACTTGACAATGGTACTAAGATTGCTGTCAAAAGACTTGATGGCTTCAGTCAAGTGAATGAGTCCTTTTTGGTTGAAGTAGAGACGATTGGTAGTGTCCATCATGTGAATTTGGTCAAATTGATTGGGTTTTGTTTCCAAAAATCACATAGGCTTTTGGTTTATGAGCACATGGCAAACGGATCATTGGACAGGTGGATATTTAACAAAGATGAAAGGCATTGTCTTCCATGGCATACAAGAACTCAAATAATTATGGACGTTGCTAAGGGATTAGCTTATCTCCATGAAGAATGCAGTCTGAAAATAATTCATTTTGACATCAAGCCCCAAAATATTCTGTTAGATGAAGACTTCAATGCAAAAGTTGCGGATTTTGGATTGTCAAAGCTGATCGAGAAAGATCAAAGTGCAGTTGTCACAAGGATGAGAGGCACACCAGGATACCTTGCTCCAGAGTGGTTGCACTCAATTATCACAGAAAAAGTGGATGTATACAGCTTCGGCATCTTGGTCCTGGAAATCTTTTGCGGGAGGAAGAACCTGGATTGGTCTAGGGAAGAGGAAGATAGGCATTTGCTTGAAATTTTTAAGAGAAAAGCAGAAGATGGCGCACTTCAAGAATTGGTTGACGGGAAAAGCGAGGATATGCAGCTCCACATCGAGGAAGCTGAGGAGATGATGAAGATTGCTGCGTGGTGCTTGCAGCACGATTCCATCATGAGGCCTTCAATGTCTCAGGTAGTTAAGGCATTGGAAGGTTTTGTAGCATCTGAAATGAACCGGAAGCGTAATTTCTTTTATACACAAGTTGATGACAGGCAGAAGGCTTCAGATACTAGTGTCATTATGCCATCACTTTTATCTGGACCAAGGTAGAGAACAAAACAAGCTCTTGAATTCTATCATTTGTATGAAGTATAAATAACAGGTAGCTTTACAGCTATTCAAAGTGTTCAATCATAAAACTAGTACTAGAGCGAATGTCCGGGGTGCTTGTGTTTAAGTCCTTTAATTTTTTTTTTTTAAAAAATCAATAATTTTAAAGTCTATTTTGCATAAATTAGAGTTCGAAGTGACATTATTTGTTTTTCTCGTCAATGAGTGCAAAATGGAGTTCGTAGTGAAACTATATGTTTTTCTCATTACAATGTCTACAATATGCCGTTTAGGTGAAAACTTAAACTTTTATTCGGGCCAAATAACAACAAAACAAAACAAAAGTGTTAATACATACAATTGAAAGAGGTAAGCTACTTATTTAGTTACACAGTTGTTAAAGGCCTAATTACCTTACTATTATAGACCTTAAATTACCATGATACTGGTTTTAATACACGTTTGGAACGTTTTAGAAGTTACATACATAATAGTTAAACTCCTATCTAAGAAGCAAAATGATCCAGAAAAGTTTTTTTGATACCCATTTACCCAATCTATTATGGCGGCTGCTCTAGGTTGTTGCACTGCAAAAGATATCAAATAACGCAGGAAAATTCATGAGAAAAGCAGAGGAATTTAAACAACACCGGTGCCTTTTCTTGTTCCAAAATATTTTTTTGGTCTAAACAACATAAAGAAATATTATAGAAAAAAAAGGTCCATGAATTCTGCGTATGCAAAGACGCTGTGTGCAATCCAAATGTATGATCTCGTCAGTTGACCCAAAAAAAAATGTACGATCTCGAAGAATCAATGAAAAATAAAAGACTTTATTTTACTGAAAAAATACATGGTTATCACTAATCACCTATATAAATTGTTCATGAGAAACTAAATGCAAGAGATACAACAGGGTGAAGCTACAAATGAGCATCATAATTTCTCCTCATTATATATAACAGAACTTATGATCCCAACCAAGCAACACGAGACTCTCTACCATCGGAACCAATTTAACTGATAACCACTTCATTGATTGTAAACAGCATCTACTTTCAAGCTTCTCACCGTCCTTGGACTTGGAAAAAATATCAAGTTTCGTCCCAATTTATGCCATTTCCAGAAATGTGTCACCAAGATCCATGGAAGGTTTTGTAACCTAAAGCAACAATTTCAATTATCCATCAGTTGATGATGGACATAAGCTTCAGATATGCTAGTCTCATTATGCCATCAATAGCATCCTTGTAAAATGTACATTTCTGAATCTTAAGTATATGAGTATCAAACAACACAGTGGCATGTAACAAACTAGACTCTGAAACCATTATCCTCCTCGCCTCGGATTGCTTGTTACAACTAGAAGCAAACAACCAGATTGTTTCTGGCTAATTGGTACTAATACTTCTCTTGAATTTACCCCAATGCTAACCTGAAAAGTAATTAGAATGCAAATGGTGGCAGTCAACAGCGGCATCACAGACTTGATGACCCCAATCAAGCAACATTAGGCTCTGTTCAACGGTTACCACCTTTACAGATGAACACCTCCCGAATGGTAAGAACCAAATACTTTCAAGCTCCATTTTGTTACCCTCCGAGTCCTTGAATTCAAACAAATGACGTTTGGAGAAGTACGAGGAATCTCAATCTCAGTCAACGTAGAAGCATCCCATATGAACGCTCTATGTTCTTCTTTTTGGACTAAGGAATTGGCATCCATGAATTTGCCAATTAGAATCAGGGATTTCTTTCTGTTGAGAACTTTGAAAATAAATTGAGGGTTAGTTATGAGAGTGTCCCATGATTTGTTCACCGTCTTTAACCGACAAAGGAGTTTGTGAGGCAGTCTTTGGAGGATGTCGATCAACAACTCTTCTGGCAACAAATCGGACATTTTTTTCCCCGCTCAATTCTTCTTCTTCTTCTTCTCTTCCTGAGCAAAAGTTGTTATGTTTGAGATACTCTGAAGGTGATGTTTTCTTATTTAAATAGATATTTTGATGCTTAGGGTTAATGACTAACTTAATTACCCATACTGTTAGGGTTCCATATATATTACAAGTTTACCAATAATAACTTCTTTCTTTTTTACTTGCGGGGATTCACCTCGATATTTATTTATTTATTTTGGTAACTTCGGAGACCCTATCTCCATAATTGTTTTGCTAAATTAACTGAGATGTAAAAGTAAAAGTTACTCCCTCCAATCCTTATTATAAGGTATTTTGATTTCGTACTAGATTTCACTTGGAATGTCTTGTTAATTAAAATAGAAAGCTTAAAAACATTTCATAACAAAAGTACAACAAATGTGAAAATATATTTTTAAAGTTTTTTTTTTAAATTAAAAAAACATCATAGGTTAAACTTAGAACGAAATTAAAATACCTTATAATAAGGACCGGAGGGAGTATTTACAAACTACTTTTCCTCGACCATGATTTTGCCAAAACAAATTTTAACCTCTAAACAAATTTGAAGTAACACCTATCTTAAGAAAAGTACTATAGTTACTCTTCAGTCTTTACCACCCGTCCCCAGGCCAAAAAAATTTCTGAAAATTTGCCTTCTTTTTTTTTTTTTTTTTTTCATGTTCCGACTTTTTTTTTTTTTTTTTCTCATTTCACAAACAGCTATGGTTTTCATGTTCCCCATTCAAAGAAAGGAGAGAATTGTTTCATTGTCTTTTTCATCTCATTGAAAATATCATCCACTTGAAGCCAAAATTTGGCCTGAAAAAATTAAATAAATTGTTTCCAGTCTTTTGAGTCAATGAATTTGCTACTCAGAACATATTGGTAGAGGAAGGAATGACCAAGTTCTAAACCATTTTGTGACAAACATTTTTTTTCTTAATACACATTACGAGCATCTAGACTACTATTACATGAAGGTCCTTTAATTTGTTGCATAGGCTATTACAACCTACGAAAATTTAAACATGAAGGCGTCCTTTCTTTATATCTTCTTGCGTTTTGTTGAGTCAATGAATTTGCTACTCAGAACATATTGGTAGCGGAAGGAATCACCAAGTTCTAAACCATTTTGTGACAAACATTTTTTTTCTTAATACACATTACAAGCATCTAGACTACTATTACATGAAGGTCCTTTAATTTGTTGCATAGGCTATTACTCGCACCTACAAAAATTTAAACATGAAGGTGTCCTTTCTTATATCTTCTTGCGTTTTGTTATCATTTCCTCAAATTAACTTGCAATTCTCTTGAAGGCTCATATAAGCCCATATGTGGTTCCACCTCAAAATCAATTGACAATGAAGGTAGTAGCATATGAGGTATATATGGTGATCAAGTTAGTTTCCCAATTCCAATGTGGGACAAGTGTCTTTCACTTGTTTTCAAGTTCAAAAAGGGATTTTAACACCCCTTCTTCAATCCCAAAGGGGTTGGACAAGGCCCCTTTGAACAGTCAAAGGCCCAATATGGGCCAGTCAAACCAGAGAAACCGTCGAATCGATCAAAGTACATCTGTATTTTTGGTAACTGTGTCATTTCATATTAAATTTGCACCGAATACTAAAAGTTATCTTGAGAAATAATCAATGGAGACTAAATTTTTGAAGATATTAGGCCAAACAATAAAACATGAAAAATGTACAACTACTACTTTTGCACATTCATCTTATCATCTCTATTGATATAAGCTAGTACAAAATTGTTGTGTTATATTCATAAAAAATATAGTTGAAAAATAAATAATATTCGTTCTCTGTGGGGAAAAATAATTTCCTTAAAAATTTTTTATTATCAAAGTTAAATAGTTATGTTGGAAATATAAAAAATTATGTTAGAAATTAGAAAAAAATTCTTTTTATCACTAATTTTGCAGATCACCTTTTTTTTCCCCTTCCATAATGTGCTCCATGCCCGAAGTTGAGCAAATCATTTTTTTTCTCATCTATTTTTGCAAATCCTTTTTTTTATTTATTTATTTTTAAATGTTGTGCTCTATGTCCATGGCGAGATTTCTGCAATTTTTTTTTTTTTTTTGCTTCATGCTTATTGTGATGTTCAGACTCTCGACCAATAATCGTTAAGGAAGCAGGATTTCTTAACACCCCATCACAACCCTTTTTATGTTATATATATATATATATTGATAATTTTTGAGGATCTCACCTGAAATGGGTAAACTCATGCTCAACAAAAACCAAAATCGTTCGGAAGATGAATACAACTGGAGAATCTATTTAGGGGTTGAACTTGGTTGAACAGGGAAACCTGGTGCACTTTGGCGGGAAAAGAAAATAGAGATTGGTTTGCAATCATTCAATCCTCATCCTTTGACGGTTTTATTGCTTTGGGACAGAGGTTGGTGCAGAGCAGGAGCTACCATCCAAATTCCAATGTTTCTGACTTGAAATTCGATCCAGGTTTGTTGTCCCTTTCTATTGACAACAATTGTTTGGTTTTCACAAGTAGTGTCTAATCCGCCACAAAAATATATATTATTGCTCTGCATTGGATGGTCTTCGTTATGTTGAATTTATTAGTGGAAGCTTTAGCAGATCGATCATTCCTGCCGAGTATGTGTCTTAGTAACTGTTCACTTAAGCCGGCTCTCTTCGTGTCAGAATCGTGGGTGAATAAGAAGAACTACATTAGAAAGATGCTTGTCACTGAATTAAGAGTGTTTTCCATCATTGACAATGTACATCACTACATTGTGGAATGACAAACTTTAAACAGCTATGCTAACAACCACAAAACCACGAAGAATTAGAACAGATTTAGCTCACTGCGGTATGAATCGAACAAACTAGATCCTGTTGCTCCCCTTGTAATTATGCAGAAATTATAATAAAAAGAGAAATCATGCATCATTGGGAGGATACTCGAGGATGCAGAATAAAATAATTGCATAAACCATATTGAAAATCATTGCATTCTAAAAGTTGCTAGCGGTACACAGAACTCTTAAAATACCACCATCCTCCATGGTTGCTTACTAAAAGCAAATACTCTCTCTGT